CGTCGGGAGATCGGAATCAAACATCCCTGAAAGTATTAGTTTAAGGGTGTGCACACTTAAGCAAACATATTATTTTAGTTTATTTTTACTTCCCTGCACTTAAAAGATTTTAGTTTGTTGTTCAACTGAGTTGTACAGTTTGTAAAAGTTACATTAAAGGTGGAAAAAGTTCCGAAATGATTGATCTTGGTCTCTTTTTTTTTTTTTACATCACAGAAACCTGACATTTTAACAGGGGTGTGTAGACTTTTTATATCCACTGTAGGTAGGCTAAACACTTGGTGGAAAATTCACTACATACCATTAAATATAAACTTCACACAAATTTAAAAGCAATCCTTGCAGTGTGGCTTCCCAGCATTTCATGTTTTAACATTCTTTTTTTGTTTAAGGGAACATTTCAAAGAGGAATTTAGACTTAACTGATAATTCCCCTTCTGGGGAGGGATAAGGTATGAAAAAACTACTTTTTTTTAATCATGCAGTACAGGACACAGGCAAAGTATTCATAGAACTTTGGTTATACTGTAGGCTTGTACCTTCAGGTGACTGGACATTGGCAAAGCTTTTGAGGACACGCCCCCTGGGTAGCTCCCTGTAACCCTACCCCACTAAGAGTCTTCGGTTTTTGCTAGTGTCTTGAGGTGTTGGCCTCATTTCCTTCATGGAGAAAAGCACCCTTCGCATTACCAATCTAACCCTTCCTACTCTCAGTCCTCAGCTTTGCAAACACTGCAGAATAACCAAAAAATGGAAGGGAAGGTGACCTGAACTGTACACAAAAATACGTAATTTACAGTCAAAATTTATCTGGTCTTAACTGAACACTACAGGACACAGGCAAAATATTCAGAGACCTACCCAAGCAATGAACAAGAAGGGTGGGCAATAACGAGGCAAAACAGAAATGTGCCAATAGGTCCAACAACAAGGGTCAGGAAAGGACACAACTTTAGAATTCCACTGTAAGAACCTTGTGGCCGAAAGATGCAAATGCAGAAGATTGAACATCCACCTGGTAGAACTTTGAGAAGGTACAAGACACCAAGGTGGCGTCTACACAGCTGGTATATGGAGGCCTTGTGCCAAAAAGCCTGGAAACTCCCACCAATCTGCTGAAATGGGCATGTAATGGACTTTTTTTCCCAAAGACACATAGCAAAATACATGTTGGCTTACATTAATGAAGAAATATTTTTTCATTTTATTGGCTATGTTTTGTTTTATAACAAAGTCAAAAATACTTTGTTTTTCAAAATGTTTTGTTTTTAATATTTTTTATTATAGAAATGAAAAAAGACCAAATGAGTGGTGATCAAATACCAACAAAAGAAACCTCTATTTGTGTGAAAATAAAAAAAAAAACATGCAACACTGTTTGCAAATGAAATTTATGTTAAAGTAGCAGTGCTGAACAGCAAACAAATGCCCTTGTCGTGAACAGGGTAAAACCTTCTAGGAGGTAAGGTGGTTAAAAAAAAATGGTTGAGCTATGGAGGAGTATCTAAAAAGGGAGAGAGGACAAGACTTGAAGGTACTAGCAAAAACGGAGGACTCATGTAACTGAGTAGTGTTACAGGGTAGGTGAGCAGGGGGTGTGGCCTCAAAAGCTTTCCCAGTGTCCAATCACCTGAAAAAGGTACAATCCAGGGTCTATGAAAAATTTTGCCTGTGCCCCACATATTTCCACATTCTTAATGTGTCTCTTCATCTATACCTAAAGACGAGGCAAAATGTCTTTACAGACACAAATTTACATAAAGTCTGAGCCACCCACCTGCTTCATCTTTGTTAGTTCTCTCCTGGTGTGTTGTTCTCTAAAAGAAGCAGAAGATAAAATTGTGGAGATCAAACATTTTAAAAACTAGCAGCAAAATCAAAAAAAATCTCCCAAACTAGAATCAGAAGACAGACTTGTGAGTAACAAAATTTTTAAATTAGTTACCGAAATTGGAGTATCCTTTGCTACTACTACACTCAAAAGGCATAAATTCCTAAGAAATGACTGTATTACCAAATATCACCAAGTCAAATCCAAGGCAGTTTAGGTTGCTGAAATGTTGTTGCACTTTCTTAAATTAGACTGCTTGAGACATAGCAAAGAACCTGTAGTGGGCGTTTGGGAATGGAGCTCCCCCAAACAAAGCTTTCACTTCAAAAGTCAGATGGGCACAAAATTTGATATACTCTTGATATACATTATATACACTGCTCAAACAATTAAAGGAACACTATGAAAACACATCAGATCTCAAATGGAGAAAAATATGCTGGATATCTGTACTGATATGGACTGGGTAATGTGTTAGGAACGTAAGGATGCCCCATCGTTTCATAGAAATTAAAAATGATCAACCTACAGAGGACTGAATTCAAAGACAACACAAAAATCAAAGTGAAAAAAATGATACAGCAGGCTAGTCCATTTTGCTGAAATTTAATTGCAGCAACTCAAAACGATACTCAATAGTTTGTATGGCCCCCCTTACGTGCTTGTAATCATGCCTGACAATGTCGGGGCATGCTCCTAATGAGATGACGGATGGTGTCCTGTAATTCCTCCCAGATCTGAACCAGGGCATCACTGAGCTGAACAGTCTCGAGGTGCAACCTGGCAGCATCGGATGGACTGAAACCTGATATCCCAGAGGTGTTCTATTGGATTTAGGTCAGGTGAGCATGGGGGCCATTCAATTGTATCAATTCCTTCATCCTCCAGGACTGCCTGCATACTCTCACCACATGAGGCCGGACATTGTCGTACACCAGGAGGAACCCAGGACCCACTGCACCAGCGTAGGGTCTGACAATGGGTCCAAGTATTTCATACAGCCAGGGTGCCATTGTCTAGCCTGTAGAGGTCATGCATTCCTCCATGGATATGCCTCCCCAGACCATCACTGACCCACTACCAAACCGGTCATTATGAACGATGTTACAGGCAGCATGTTCTCCACGGCTTCTTCAGACCCTTTCATGTCTGTCACATGCTCAGGGTGAACCTGCTCTCATCTGTGAAAAGCACAGGGTGCCAGTGGTGGACCTGCCAATTCTAGTGTTCAATGGCAAATGTCAATCGAGCTCTATGGTGCCGGGCAGTGAGCACAGGGCCCACTAGAGGACATCGGGCCCTCAGGCCACCCTCATGAAGTCAGTTTCTGATTGTTTGGTCAGAGACATTCACACCAGTGGCCTGCTGGAGGTCATTTTGTAGGGCTCTGGCAGTGCTCATCCTGTTCCTCCTTGCAAAAAAGGAGCAGATACCGGTCCTACTGATGGGTTAAGGACCTTCTACGACCCTGTACAGCTCTCCTAGAGTAACGCCTGCCTCCTCCATGCTCTTGAGACTGTGCTGGGAGACACAGCAAACCTTCTGGCATCCAGGTGGAGTTGGACTGCCAGTGCAACCTCTGTAGGGTCCAGGTATCGCCTCATGCTACAAGTAGTGATACTGACCCTAGTCAAATGCAAAACCAGTGAAAAACAGTTCCAAAAGAGTAGGGAAAAATGCCAGTGGCTTCCACCTGTAAAACCATTCCTGCTTTGGGGGTTGTCTCATTGTTGCCAAGTAATCCATCTGTTAATTTCATTAACACCAAAAGCAGCTGAAAACAGACTAACAATCCCCTCTGCTACTTAACCGACCAGATCAATATCCTAGAAGTTTAATTGACTTAATGCTATAGTCTGATTAAAAAGTGTTCCTTTATTTTTTTGAGCAATGTATATAAAAATGTAGCCCCCAATGTAGATGCAAAAAAATGTAATGTTCCTTGACCTTTCATATGCCAGCACTGTAAATGCTTTGTTACAATGCTGGCATTGAACCCATGCAAAATGTCCTTCTCACAGCTGTGGTGATAATAGGGTGTCATGGCTCCCTTATCACCTATTCAACCACCCATACACTGGCCCTCTAGTTTATAAGCAACCACCCAAGAGCCAGCTCACACTATGACTGCTGGCTGAAGGTTCTTCAGAACTGGCAGGGTATCTTATGTGAAGAGGAAGACAGACATGTGTGGTGCATGTCGCCCACTCCTCCCAGCAGCCATGTATGTGAATAAGGTAGTAGACCCTTGGAATAACAGGGTCTGCAGATTGCTTTTTTAAGCAAGAGGGAGCAAGGCATATTAAAAGTGTATTTTTTTTAATCTGCTACAATGTAAACTCCTATGTACACACCCTGCTGTAGGAGGTTTAGGAAATGTTACATTACTTCATTGGGTTTCAAGGTATATCCAAAAACAAACTGTTTTGTATAGAGTACGGAGTACAGAGAAACGGTCACCTTAGGGCAAAGTGACATCTGTGACCAGACCACCCTCCAACACGCTTACACTTACATTCACCAAGTACATCGCAGATACCAATTGCTCCTAGGCAGTTGGGAGCATGTAACCTTCTCCCAGAATGCACTGTTTGGGCCTTATTGTTGGGGACCTAGCAGTTGGTCTAGCACTGTCACCTGGCATGGAGGACAAGGTCATCAGCTCAGTGTAAGCCTTGGTAAGCATAATTGGGTTGCCCTTTTTTTCGTCCTGATGACCATTATCACCAAGACGCAGTGAAGAAAAGCCAGACTTTTACAGCTGTCCCCAGAACAAGAAGTGAAGGGAAATCCTTCAATGAGGAAAAGTGTCCGTAACATCTGTCTAAGACGGTTTTACCCTCACTTTAGAGAGATGTATTCTCACTTCCTGTTGTGCTTTTGGGACAGTAATAAGGTGCAGTTAGTTAATGTAACAGCAGCAAAGCATAAAAAACCTGCCATGAGCCTTGTTACCATCATTTGCAAAGTACAAAACAGTTACAGAGTAAATGCTTTAAACCAAAAAAAGAAAAAAAAAAAAAGAAAAAAAAAAAAAAAAAAAAAAGGAATCTGCTTTTAAAACCTGTAAAGATAGATAATGAAGGGTAAAACGGTAAAACAGAAATAGTAGGAAAAATAGTGTCACAGTTTAATGTGTTGTAGTTTGAATTTATTGATAATCACTCATTTATAGATACATAAATATTTTCTTACCTAAGCTGTCTGGGCTGTCAATTGAGAAACACATTAGAATAACATCAGTATCAGGGTATGAGAGTGGGCGCAGTCTGTCATAATCCTCTTGTCCTGCTGTGTCCCACAGAGCCAGTTCCACCTACATTAAAATAACCTAATTAGTTTGCACAGGAGGAGAAGGAGGATTATAGGATTAGGAGTGAACAGTAAAGATAAAGGGAAAAGTGGAACTTGAGAGGTGATCAACATTTAGTATATACAGATTGTATAACTGGCACAAATGCTGAGAGGAATTAGACAGTCAGGCTAAGAGCCATACAATTAACATGAACTGTTCAGAGACAACCCTTTTAACCTTTGTTTTCTGCCGAGTGGTCTTATGGTTTGTTACAAATGATCCAAAACCAATTGTGCCAATTTAACACAAATACAGTTTAATTAAAATTAGATCCAGTCCTAGCTTGTTCTTCAAGCTCTTTATTCAGATGATCCTCTTTACTTTCATCTGTATAAGCTTTACTGTAGAGTAATTTGTTACTTCCTAAATTTAAAGAACAGTCACTAAGTTTTAAGATTACAAAGTAGTGGCAAAGCTACCATGGTCTTAGATGTACAGATGTATTTATAAATTGTGCTTGGATTGGGAATCTCCGTATGTTCCTGCCCAATTACATTGTGTGCCCATAAAATCTATAGCTAGAGAACAGGTTAATTTTAAAGGCTCATTTTTTGGTTAGCCTTCTATTGCCTACAGTGAAGTGCTTTTTATCTAGCTTTATCTTGGCAACATTTCAGGCGACCATATGAAGACTTCACTTTCCCAGTACACAACACTAATACAGACTAACATCTATAAAGACACCCACAGATCACCACACACTTCTACACAATAATAGCTTCTATCCAAAATCTTTAAAGAAGGGCTTACTATATAGCCAATTTATATATAGTGGTAGGATTGCATTCTCTAATGGGATGTTTAAAATAGAAGCTGGAAAGGTGATAGAAGTACAGAACATTGTTTTATATATAGATTTTTTAAAAACTATGTATATGCTGTACTTTTCTGTCAACGTATCTTTGCTTATTAGAGTTCTTGGTTTAATGTTTGAACATTAGGTGCATGCTTGGTGAAGCGTATGAAGAGTATTCTTCCCTGTGATGAATACCATTTCCAGTGTGTTTATTTTAGCATATATACTTGCTCCTTCCTATTCAAAGTCATCTGTCCTGCCCCGGATTCTCATGACTATACACAATGAAGTTGGCTGGCAACACATTTTTTCCCCTTTCATGTTCAGGGTGGCAAACAGTGATGTGTTGGAGCGCATCTCACATGGATGGCCAGGGGAAAAACAAAGTGCTGCTGGAGGCCCAATTACCAGGTAGGAGCTCTTGGAGAAAAGGGGATATTTTCTCCCCAGAATCGGCCAGACCGGTGTCCCTCAATGGACTGAAAGATGGAAAGAGATTTTGTGGCAAGTACAAAAACCCTAACATATTTCTTGATTGTCCATTGAAGGTCACAAATTCTATGAACTCTTAAACATCAGGACATTCAAAAGCAGTCGAACTGAGGAATGAACATAGCTATTAAACATCCTACCGATGTGGAGGCCATACTATAAAAATATTATATGAAGGAATTAACATCTGAACAAAAAGGTTAGATAAAGAAGGGCCAATTAATATGGAAATTGCCACAACCAAGGTGATCTCACCAAGAATCAACCTGCTGCTGCAGACCAGGACAGATAATCATTATGAAGGGACAATAAATTGCTGCCTCAGGGAGGTATGTTCCTTGGTTGGTGAACAAACCAACTGTCCACTAAAGACAGGTAGGAAAGGAAAAAAAAAAAATTATACATACACACAAACACACACAAACTGAACTTGAACAGGAGAAAACTAGTTCTAGAAAGAAAGCGGACAGGAAATGAGAAATCTGAACAGACTTACTGTACTGTCCAACAGAAAAAGCCATATGGGCAAACATTTGGACGACAGCAGAAAAGTCTAGCACAGTGTTTTTCAACCTTTTCTTTCCAGTCAAGGCACCCTTGAAATTCTGCACACAATCTCAAGGCACCTCATTCTAAAATTGTAAAAAAACATCCACATACATTAGGACACCCATCATTGGAGGTATTTTAGTCTTCCAAAGCAAATACACCTTAACACACTGGTACTGGCTAGTATTCTAGCTTTTCTCCACTCCCTTAATTTCTCTCCCCACTCTTGGACCGAAGACACAGCGGGGTTTATTTACTAAAGCTGGAGAGTCCAAAATCAGACTCCCTTCTGCATAGAAACCAATCAGCTTCCAGGTTTCATTGCCAAAGCTTCATTGAACAAGCTGAGGTTAGAAGCCGATTGGTTTCTATGCAGAAGGGAGTCTGATTTTGGACTCTCCAGCTTTAGTAAATAAACCCCAGCATGTCCAGAGAAAAGACAAATCCATCAACAGCTGGAGGCTTTAGTTGAACACGGCTAAACTTTGGCTTCAAGGAAAGGGAGGTCCCTGGTGAGAAAAGACATCACGTGACAAATACTCTCTTTACTCAGATAGCCATAGATGAGAGATATGTCACAGCATACAAAGTTAAATGGAAAGAGAAAAAAAGAAAAATGCTTACTTTGGTAAAACTGGAAGGGTACTAACACTGAATTCTTCTGCTGTGAATTGATTGAGCTCTTCATTTAGAGAACAAACAAGCTTTTTCACAATGTCATATTGTAGATCAATTGTCTATAATTTTCCTGGTATGTGGAAATTTTAAGAGTCCTAGCAACTTAACAGGGAGTGAATTGGGATTCCTTCTGATGATGCATGATGAGTGATCAACAGGAAAAAGCTTCTCTATGCATTGCCTGAGCTCCTATTAAAGTATAGGACCAGCCAAACTTTTTTCTTGGTTTTGGATAGAAGAGTTAGAACCTCTGTAAAGTTTTTATTGTGACTCAGGGTCTGTTACAGGGATTAACCCTTTCTTCCTGTCTGGTAAAATGTCAGTGGGACAGGAAGTGAAAGGAACAAAAATTAATGCAGTCCACAACATCAGAGTTGGAAAGTAAAAATGAGGGAAAAAAAAGATGTTCAGAATAAAAAAACAAAAACAAAAAAAACTTTAGAGTAGCTGAATTGGACCAGGCAAAATAACCAGTTATAGATATTGTTTTCCAGTACTCAAGAACACATGATTATCTAGCATCTGCCCTATTCCAATGCTTCTGAATCAGAAGTAAAAATATGACACAGAGTTGGAGAATCACTCCATTGGTATGTATTCAGGCCTTACCTGTTTTCCATCTACTTCAATGTCAGCTATGTAGTTTTCAAAGACTGTTGGCACATAGACTTCAGGAAACTGATCCTTGCTGAACACAATTAGGAGGCAGGTTTTTCCACATGCACCATCCCCAACTATCACCAGCTTCTTCCGAATTGCTGCCATAGCTGAGAAAAGACAAAACATATTTAGTTAAGCATAGTTTGTAAAAAATAAATACAAATAAATAAAATATATATATATATATATATTTATTAATTATAGTTCTGTCTAGAAACTACTTCAATGTACATACCAAAAATTAACAGTTTTTGCATAGGCTGTAACAGATGAAATAAAACTATCAGCACTTTAGTTTATTGTACAGGTTATCGCCATCCCTGTAGATGGTAAGAATACCTGGCACTTCCTGGTAGGCAACTGCTTGACATGAGCACAGTCATCACCAGTGGAGATCACATTAAAGTCACTATTCCAGCGCTCAAGCATCAGTCACGCTATTCAACATTCAAAATACTTCCAGGAGTTTCTGATGCCCGTGTTTTGTGCCCTGCGGTTACTTCAACTGCACAATCATTACAAGACACAGCAGTGATTTAAGGGCCACAAGATGTAACCACAGTTCCTGGAGGGCATTCTAAACTACCAAAAGTATTGATTGCTGAGGAAGTATCCCCACTTGTAGTGCCTAAAGAGGAACTTCTGTCCAAATTCAAAAACACACACACACCCAATCATAATAAATCGCTGACTATTAGGGACTACATTTTTCACAATACACTATATTTACCAGTGAATCAGTTATTTTTACAGCACTCGCCTGTATTCTGTCAGTGGTCATTTGCAGTAAGGGCAGCTGAAGCCAATGCCTATTCTTTTACAGAACCCATCATGTCTTGCAAACTCATGCACGAGCATGAAGCACACAGTGTGGCTAATCACGGTTTACTATGCTATAGTATATAGTTTGCTCCGACTATAGCGGCTGTGACACGCATCCACAGGAGCAGATATATCACAAGACCCCTGGGATTTGTAATGACTATATCTCAGGAATCAAAGGGACTAGAGATTACGTCATTCAACTAGGTAAAAAAAAAAAAAAAAAAAAAAAAAAAAAAAAAAAAAAAAAAAGGGAAGAAGAAGTTTAAACAGGGCAAAGAGATGCTTTAAGCATGGGAAAGTGGGCGAGACCCCAGCCCCTGAAAGGTTAAGGTTTTAGAAAGCTATACATATTCAATGCATAAGCAGCTGTCCAAATAAAATCACAATATCTAATAAATGTGAAACCCTCACAATGCAGAGTTGCATAGTTCAGACTTTCAACCAGGGTGCCCAGGGGTCACATTTGCAGAGTGAGGGAGAGAAACTGAGAAAGACACACTGGAATACTAGTCAATATCAGTGTCCGAAGGTACGTTTGTTTTGGAAGAATAAATTGACTAACAGAGGGTGTACTATGTGTGTGGATGTGCGCAGAATAGTTTTTTACATTTTAGAATGGGGTGCCTTGAGATTGTGCAGAATTTTAAAGGATGCCTTGACTGGAAAAAAAAACAAAAAAAAAAACAAAAATTGAAAAAATACTGGCAAAGTTTCCTTTTTTCCACCCAGAATAAAGTGCTCAGCAACTGCACTTCTGTAAAAAAAAAAAAAATGGATAGGATTCTTATTTTGGAAAGTGCTGGGTATCAAATCATCCAACTGCCAGCAGAACAGGAATATATGAGTTGCCACTGCCGAATTGCTTTTCCTTTCTTCACTACTTCCAAAGCCACCAATTTGGAACAAAAATGGAGGGAAAAAAAGTTTGGACTATTTTTTATTTTAAGTATAAGGGGGGGCATACTTTTACCTAAACATTTTTTACCTTAATGCAAGGAAAGCATTAAGGTAAAGAGTCTGTAGAATCTATTTCAAATGGTACTGAAGCCAAAAAAAAAAAAAAAAAAAAATCTCGATAGCATTTAGGGTTTTTGTGTGAAGAAGAGACCCTGTAGGTCTATCCTATGCCCCAAAAAATAAATGTGCATACATGGGAGCTGCATAATGACTGGGCACCCTATGGCGTGAGGATGGAGATGCTGACAGTAAAAACAGCTTCCACAAAAGTTGTCAGTGGCATCTGTGGAGCAACAAGGAAAAGCATTGAGCATATATCACTGGATGCATACTTGCTCATTAAGGTGGTTATAAAGTGGTCCCGCCAGACCTCCAACCCTTATTTCTACTTTAAGCTGAGCAGGAATTTCTTTTGATCTCGTCTCATTTGCCACTGTAACATTTCTAAATTCCCTCAATTTGTACAGTGACAAGGAAACTACTAGCACTTTATAAACCCTGTTAGCAGACACATTTTGTTTGAAGGAAACTGCTAGGTGATCTGGTTGTTGAGGAAGTATAATGCCATGGAAACTGCTGGCGTTTTATAAAATACTGTTCAGTATATCCACACTAAACTGGCAAAATTATTGGGACGCCTGCCTTTACACGCACATGAACTTTAAAAATGGCATCCCAGTCTTAGTCCGTAGGGTCATTACGGACTAATAGCCTACCCTCGCAGCTATAAGAGCTTCAACTCTTCTGGGAAGGCTGTCCACAAGGTTTAGGAGTGTGTCTATGGGAATGTTTGACCATTCTTCCAGAAGCGCACTTGTGAAGTCAGGCACTGATGTCAGACGAGAAGGCCTGGCTCACAGTCTCCGCTCTAATTCATCCCAAAGGTGTTCTATTGGGTTGAGGTCAGGAGTCTGCAGACCAGTCAAGTTCCTCCACCCCAAACTTTCTCATCCATGTCTTTATGGACCTTGCTTTGTGCACTGGTGCACAATCATGTTGGAACAGGAAGGGGCCAATCCCAAACGGTTCCCACAAAGTTGGAAGCATGACATTGTCCAAAATGTCTTGGTATGCTAACGCCTTAAGAGTTCCCTTCACTGGAACTAAGGGGCCAAGCCCCAAACCCTGCAAAACAACCCCACACCATAATCCCCCCTCCACCAAACTTTACACTTGGCACAATGCAGTCAGGCAAGTACCGTTCTCCTGGCAACCGCCAAACCCAGACATGTCCATCAGATTGCTAGACTGAGAAGCGTGATTCATCAATCCAGAGAACACATCTCCACTGCTCTATAGAGTCCAGTGGCTGTGTGCTTTACACACACTTTTCATTCTTTGCTTTTCCTATTTTAAAACCACCAGTGACCCAGAGGGAGCTGGTAAGTCAACAATCCTTTTCTTATCCCTCCTGCTACTGGTGTTGCAGTTAGTTACAACATATTTCCATTTTAGCAGTGCATTGCCTTTATGCGTTAACTGGGGATATACTTCCTGAACCTTCATTGTGTGAGTCTACTCTTTAGAATAAGCCCGATATAGGTGTTACAAAATTATATAAGTGGTGAAGCGCTCAACTTAAATATAAGTGACAATTATCTCATACCTAAATACACTTATCAATATAAATGAAAAATAGTGCAATATCCCCATATATAAATGGTACGTCCCTGGTGGTATAGTGATAAACAAATAATACCTCTTAAGCTATGCAAATATAAATAAATAAAAAACTAGTGCAATATCCTCATATATGCATTAAACATCCCTGGTGGTATAGTGATGGACAACTAATACCTCTTAAACTGTGCAAAAGTGATACTTGAATTCAATTAATTAAACCAATTAAATAAAATATTAATTACAATAAATTAAATTGTGATGCCACACTGTGCAAAATCATGAAAAAGTGTTCAAATAATGTCACTCCATGCTGCAATAGTGCTCTTCGTGAAAATCTTGACGTGACTCCCCTCAATAATAGCCAAAATGCCCCCTCACCTTCCACATTCGACCCTTGCGGGTCACAGAGCTTTATATATATATATATATATATATATATATATATATATATATATATATATATATATATATATATATATATATATATATATATATATATATATATATATATATATATATATATAATATATCTCTGCCAGATATTATTCTCCTCCACTGCCTCCACCGACCAAGATCCTCCTCCAGGCAGTAAGTTACACTCCAATAACTCCCCTCACAAAACGGACTCCGACACAAGGCGCATATGCAAAACAAAAGCAAAGCTCCATAGTGCAATACTGTTTAATGCACTCAACGATACAATGAAAAATTGCACTCACATATCCTCAAATCGAGAGAAGCAGTTCCCATGTACTATGGGTGTATACAGGTGTCCAAAGATGGCGTCCGAACCCGGAACCGGAAGTACGTCACCCCTATGACCGGAAATACGTCGACACGTTGCGCCACGATCACGTGGCTTCTTCAGGATACGTCGACGCGTGGCGCAACGCGTCAACGTATTTCCGGTCATAGGGGTGACGTACTTTCGGTTCCGGGTTCGGACGCCATCTTTGGACACCTGTATACACCCATAGTACATGGGAACTGCTTCTCTCGATTTGAGGATATGTGAGTGCAATTTTTCATTGTATCGTTGAGTGCATTAAACAGTATTGCACTATGGAGCTTTGCTTTTGTTTTGCATATGCGCCTTGTGTCGGAGTCCGTTTTGTGAGGGGAGTTATTGGAGTGTAACTTACTGCCTGGAGGAGGATCTTGGTCGGTGGAGGCAGTGGAGGAGAATAATATCTGGCAGAGAGATATATATATATATATATATATATATATATATATATATATATATATATATATATATATATAAAGCTCTGTGACCTGCAAGGGTCGAATGTGGAAGGTGAGGGGGCATTTTAGCTATTATTGAGGGGAGTCACGTCAAGATTTTCACGAAGAGCACTATTGCAGCATGGAGTGACATTATTTGAACACTTTTTCATGATTTTGCACAGTGTGGCATCACAATTTAATTTATTGTAATTAATATTTTATTTAATTGGTTTAATTAATTGAATTCAAGTATCACTTTTGCACAGTTTAAGAGGTATTAGTTGTCCATCACTATACCACCAGGGATGTTTAATGCATATATGAGGATATTGCACTAGTTTTTTATTTATTTATATTTGCATAGCTTAAGAGGTATTATTTGTTTATCACTATACCACCAGGGACGTACCATTTATATATGGGGATATTGCACTATTTTTCATTTATATTGATTAATAAGTGTATTTAGGTAT